CTTCCAACGGCTATGCCAAGGCCAGGCATATGCCCAGATCGTAAGTTCTTGATCATCCCGGTGAAAATGTTTTGGGTGACAGGCGATTGGGCCCATTTTAAGACGATCAGACCCAAGCCAAATTTGAATAATCCTTAATTGTTTGGACTTTCTGTCCTAATACATGATTATGCTAAAAATGCATAAAATATGGGTTTTCTAGAGACACTATGGTTCCATCCACCTTGCTTGGACTAGTGATTTTGGTAAAGACAGACTTAATTGGCTAAAAAAAATGATTAAACCAATGTCATCTTGCTGGTTTTATTGTTTTCGTTTTTTTGTAAAATTATATTTCGGACCGTAAAATTAATTAGGACCAGTTTAACTTTGGAAGGGCCAGTATAATTTTTTCCTTGCTGGCCACTATGGTTTGCAGGTTAATTTTCAGCCCTGTGTTAAATATACATATTTGAAGGTAACAATATAACAACATTAACATTACAAAAATACAATACAATAACTAATTGAAGTATATAAAGTTGTTTAAACTTTGCAATAATATAAAACAACATTGATAACTATGATTCATGAATATAATTTATTATTCTGTAATTAATTATTCTGGATACCTGTATGCATTCACATTATTTGAATCTGTTGAACATTCCTTAAGAATATCTTGCAGGATATTTCATATTAAGGGGACAGTTCCTAATTTAGTACACTATTTGTAATGTTGTCATTTCAATTGTCTTCTTTTTGTCGAATGGGTAATTTTGTTTGTCATCCTCACGAGACATGGGAAATGTACAAGAATATCCCGGACTTCCAGGGGTCGTAATAAATCATGTTTTGGAATGATTAATCAATGATATAGAATCGCAAACATATGAAGTTGTTTTAAGTTTGTGAGTTCTATGTTAAGTTATTATTTTAGCTTTGAGCTAAACTGCAAATGATACCTAAAAAAAAACGTACAATATGTACATTATATGGTTGATGCAGCACTTGTGATCAGGCTGTTAGAGGTCAAATGTTCAAACCATCGCTGTGAATTTTGCATGTGTCCTTCAGAAGGCACTTTTCCTAAGTGCCTAAGAGTGGGGACGTAGTAGGTTCAGCCACCAATGTGCTAATTGCTACTGCAATTATATGGTGTGTTCCATCCATAGACATTTGTTGCAGTGGAATTCGGCAATAATGTGATTAGCACAGAAAGAGCTCATGGCATTTTGTGCGTTATTTATCTTTATTATTATTACACACAAATTAAAAGCATCAATTACTATATTGTTGTCCTCTTTTATAATAATAACAGCGTTGCTTTTGGTTTGCTTCAAATTCATTATTCCATTAATTTAGTATATGACAACGTCAAGTCAATGTCTGCCAAATGTCTTGGAAAAAGATGGCTGTCTGTGTTAGTACCAGTGATATTAATACACTATAGTCCCATAAGTCAAATAAAAACTGTCTGCCTGACTCAAACAGATTATGTTTGATCAAACTTTATTATGTTTTAAGTCCTTCCAGACTATCAAATTTTCTTTGACAAAAAAAACTGTTTTATGCTCATATATAGTTATGACTTGCCTATATATGGTTGTAATGTGATGTTATGATCATATTTAAGCATGTCACTTATCTGATCAAACAAATTACCTGCCTTTCTATGTCTTTGATGTATTACTAAATATACTAGAAAGCTTTCCTAAAAATTTCACAGTATGTTTAATGAATCAATTGGAACAGCATAGCAACAACTGAAGGAAAGTTAAGGACAATGTTATCAATCAAAATCATTCTCAAGACACTTTAGAAACATTGAAATGTTCTGGTTCATGAAAGTCTGATGTGATGAAATGATATAAAGGTTGAGATTAGTTCACTCAAAGATTTTTTTTACAGGCATCATATTTTAATAAATTTGAGATATTTAGCTCAGTTTAGGTTGTTTATATTTAATTATACACTGTCTGATAATTCATTAGACTTTTGTGGTATGTTATAGTGCATACACTGTCATCATCATCATTACCATCATCATCATAAACATTTTGAGTCCATGTCCATTTTGATCGTGGGTTGGACTTTTCTTCATTATTTGATGGCAAATCTCCTCTGTCCTCAGCCAATTCCCAATTCGATCTTTTCCCCCAAGGTTAATATGGATGACTCCCATGTAAAAACTTGAAAAATCATTTTTACAGTACAATATTGCTTACTGTTTGATCAATTATTAGAAATATGGAACAGTTGACGCTATAGTTTTGTAGCTAATGCGTGGGCTAATGTTCTTACTATATCTTTCATACTATATCTGACCTTGTTGATAATTAATCAAGAACACCTGATGTTAGTGCTCAACATCATTTTCATGTTTTGCTGTACTGTGTTTAGCTTAAGAGCAGATTATAATAGTAATTATAATGGCAGAGATAGTAATGTGGTTATATCTTATGTATAATTAATAGTCTTGTCTTAAGTCATTGAACACAATTTTTATTAATGGTTATTAATTAATAATATTGTCCAATGTTATTGATCACTATTCATAATGACAATTAAATCAAGAATTTTATCTATCTTTACAATTACATTGTATTCATTGTCATTATTAACATCATCATCTTTAATATTGTTTATTTAGAGAGAGCAGCTTAGCTCACTCGGCTAATCTGGAGGTAGCCACTGTGCGTACGCCGAACCGTGGAAATCTTTAGGTGCACCGTTCAATTCCCATCGCTGCCTCTCCTTGTGTTTCAGCTGGAGGGCTGAAATACAAGTTACAATAGCGCACCGTCTTTCGGACGAGAGCTTTAAGCTGTTGGTCCCGTGTGCATTAATGGCCCATGTGCACGTTAAAGAACGCAGTACACTCTTCGGAAAACAGTAGGGGATTGTCTCCTGGTGTACTGTCCAATTACCACCAGAAGGACCCCACTGGAAATATGTCTTCTAAATTTTCGTGGGCTATCCTTGGTGTTTACACCGAATAAATCCAATCCTATTTAATTATCATTATTATTATTTTCATTATCGTCATCATCACAAAATAAATCATCAATCATCAAATCATAAACTAATGATCAGAATCATTATCATCATTGTCAGTATCTAGCATCATAATCATAATAATCACGACCATCTTAATTGAATTAAAACTCTTTAATTTTTAATTATAGGTTCTTAACCTATTTGCTATGAATCAGACCTTTCCAATTTTTTTAGAACAGCATATCTCCTCCTTAAAGATTTGAACCCAACACCTTTAAATATTTTCACTTTTTAGTATGTTATCTTTTGGACCGTGCACATAACCTTGTGCACGGTTGCCATCATGCCAAAATTACAAGTCATACACACCTCAGTACTTCATAGCACAGCCAAAGCAAAAATCAATTGCATTGTAATATTGATTTCACGGTTTTGTTAATGTGAGTATGTTTGAGTTTTAACTGGTTCGACAAGAAGTGTAAAAAAGGTTATAAAAATACGTCTAACGATGCCTTCCACATTGTAATAAAAGTCAGTATTTGTATTGAAATGTCAAAGATGATAATCAACCGTTTTCATTTTCAATTTGTATATTAGATAAAGTGTTAAATTTATTATGGTTTATTTCTTCAGTTGTGTGAATAATTATTTTTATAATAATGAATATAATTGGCTATTTATGAAATTATTACTTGGCATATTGCAGAAAAAGAAATAAAATTATTATACTGCCTCAAATCATTTTTAAAACATTGTACAATGTATATTATTATTAAGAATAAAATTGTTAAACTTACATTAATGGATACATGTTCAGGGTTGTAGGTGTAGAACCTTAATTGTGGGTGATAGACATTTTAAGTGTGGGTGTGTGATAACATTATTAAACTCTTAATAAGAGTGGATTTTAAGGATGGAAAAGTGGGTTGATAAGGGTGGGTGGATGGCCATGAAATTAGCTTTAGACTGGGTAAAAAAAACTTCAAGGCTAGGTGGCCCCGCCCATCATAACTACATCCCTCTATGTTAACTGTTAAACTTGTGTTAATTGTACACAATTTGTTATTTGTAGTTACTTACAATATAATTTTTGTTGACACATCAACCAATTTAGCGTACTGTTACAAGACATTATACCATAGGTCAGTTACCACTTGGACATATGTTCATAAAAGTACTGTAAATACCTCAGAGGATTATACAATTGGTGTATTGGTCTTTTCCATTTTTTTATTGCAGGATGTCCAACACCACAATTATTGTTTTTCTTCATCTCTTTCATTTCTGCTTTCTATAGTCCAGTATATAAGTCCTCCTCTAATAATCTGTCCAATCCAGTCACATTTAGTGACATAATTATTTAGTTATATAATTATATAGTATATAATCCTACTTGGGACATCCCAGAAAGAAGATACATTATTTTGGCTGTGAAGGATGAGAAAATTTTTTTTTATGGCCAGCCACTATCTATGGTAGTAGACAAGTTAGAATGCCAAGTGGTTTAGGCAGGGATGTCACAACCTACAGCCATAATATTGGGGATGGTTCAAGCAGCACACTCGCTGGTGGAACAAGTCTTCTCAAAAAGGGATTATAAACCTTAGGCCTAATCTACATAATTTGACTTGTGGAATTTAATAGAGCCAGTACATCTTTTAAGACAAGTAGGGGGGTTACCCCGGTTTACTGGTCCATACAGCCTCTTGTTGTGGACAGACAAGAGTAGCTGACCCTGGTTTTACCAAGTAACACGAACAGAAAGTGACACTTATTAGAATGGAGTTACTATGCAAGCTGGTCCATGCCTCAAGCGTTTTGGTATAAGCACTGCATAAATCTAACTACATTTTACATTAATCCCAAATGTGTCATCTTCTTATCAGTTTATTTTCTATTATTATGTTATATTGCCAGGATTTTTTCATTGGATTATGTTGTTATGTATTATAAAATGCATTAATTTTGATGTATATAAAATGCATTGTTTTCAATAGTCAGTTTTCTCCTGTTTTTTGCAGAGTGGTTGTTCACAAGAAGAAATGCAGAATAAAGTTAGTTCATATGAAGCTCAGCATCATCATTTATTGGCATGTCTAGAAAATGCTACGGTAAGTTCCATCAACTTCACTAATATATTATGCAGTAGTATAAAATATCATCATTGCCATGAATATATAACATATTATTACCTATTATGCATTTGAACATAATAAAAAGAAGACCAGAATACAACTGAGGTAGAAATGTTATAAAAGCAAATATTTCAGCCTTTGGTTGCCTTCTTGGTTTCTATCTACCCAAATAAATATAGACAGGCCTTTTTTAAACACATAGACTGGCCTTTTTTAAACACTGATAACTGCAAATAAAAATAATAGATAAAATAAAAGAATTATAAGATAGATAAAAAGGCAATAAAATTACATTTGCATAAAACATAAATCAGTAACATAGTTTAAAATTAGAAAATGAAAGAATTATGATCAATAGTACTCTTTCTAATTGATAATCAATAATGTGTAATGTTAGTAATATAGGTAAATAGTGTAATATTAATAACTATGTAATACTATAAAGTTAAGTATTTGATTCTCCTCAAAACCTTAAGAGCTGTTGTGTCTGACACCAAAGAGTAACTATTATTTAGGAACATATCAATAATAATAACAACAGTAATACGTCAATCTTATATTATTCATAATAGTGGACCTCTATCAATTTCAAACGCTCATAAGACTAATAAGTGTATGTATAATATTGTCTGAAACTTAAGCCGTGAATTTATTTACAAAATGGGTCAAAAGTCACTTTCCATGGTCTCAGAGATGTCTTGCTCTGCTGCCTGTGTTAGCATCCAGGAATACTGCAGTTGATTGCCCTGGACCGGCATGAGTCGATTCTAATGTGATAGTATAGCTCGTGAGCCATAGGCACACAACCAGTAGGGTCTGCGTAATTAGCTCAAGTTTTTGAATGATGTTGGACATCGGATGCACAAATTCCTAGGTGTGAATACCCATGGGAGACGCATGTTATTAGGTGATATGAATATAAGCGTTAATTGGTTGAAAGAATCAATAAAGAGAATTCAGATAATCGGGAGTGTGGGTAGGAACAAATGGGGTTGTTACTAACTTTTCGCAAATGAATGACTACACACGATGCATCTCACGGCGAGAAATTCTTTTTAAAAATTCTAGATGACCGGTATGGTAATTAATGCTTAGGAGATAAAAACGATTATCGTACTTAACATATTACCTGATTTTAGATTCCCAATCTTATATATTTGAATAGAAAGGTAGGAAACAGTGACTACCGTAAAGGCAATGGATTACTGGCTGTCCTTTTTATCATTACAGATCGGTATTATTATTTAAAAGCCTTGTTATCTAGGTGCCTACAATTAGACAAAGATAGTATGAGACAGCATCATAATTACGCACGCCATTATGATTCAAAATTTCAAACTTAATTCATTCATGTTCAGCAATTATGTGAATAAATTCATTTATAGGAAAAATTTAATTGTTACTAACACTTTAAAAAATGAATGGGTACATAATACATCACGCAGCAGGAGTGGATTTAGGAAGGGAGAATGTGACCCCCGGTTTTGCTAATGCCATCTTAATTTTTTTTAACAGATTAAAATACAAATTTTTTTATACAAATATTAAATTTTACACTATTTCATAGTAGCATATATTAAACAATAATAATATAATAATTTTGATAATAATTGGTGAGATGGTAATTTATAAATTTCAAACATATAGTTTCCAAGTAAAATAAGTGCATCGTCCTTTGTCACCTATGCTTATGTGGTCCACGTGCTTAAATGGGAAATTTATTATAATCAGCTTTGAAGTAACTATTTAAAAAAATTTTCAAATATATCACAGAAATTCAGAAAGTACATATTATTATGATATTTAACTATATTATAAGTTGATAGCAAATTTTTTTTTGGGTACACAACATATCTGGACATTGGCCTTAAGAAAGTGTTTATCATCTACAGTCTGAAGTATTATAACCTGAATATAAACAGTTCGTAGACATTAATAACATCAAAATAAGCGTAAAAATTAGTACATGCTAAGCTACGTGCCAAATCACTGCATAACATAGATGCCAATCAGAATGCAATTTCACTTTAACGAAAAGATTTTATCATTCATATTATTAAACATATGTTTATATACGATATTTTTTAATAAACAGCTGAAAGAGGTTGGATAAGAACCTGCTGTTACATTCTCACGCCCACTCTCTGATGCCAAGCAACGCCACGAGAATAGAATTATAAATCGTTCTGATTATATTTACTTATTCTTAGTATTTTGCATGTTTGTTGGTAGTGAACATTATTTTTCTTTTCAAGCTCCACGGTTATCAAAATTTTCTTCCATCAGCTGACATTTATACAAAGCATGTGAGAACCATTGTAGAGCATTTAGAAAGTTAGATAATTAATTGTCTACTGACTCCTTCAGTATTCGGCAAAAACTACTGGATAACTGCTACTTTTGTTTAGCCTAGATACCTCCATCATTTGAGGCACGCTGTGAGTTATGACCAAGTGTCTAGCACCATAAATTTGCCAGAAAATGGTGCAGTAATGTTCTTGGTTGTCGTATCTATGTCGTATGTGGACAGTTAGTTTAGGTTCATAGTTTATTCCTTGATTTTCTCTTTGTTGAAACGCCTCGAGATTGTCTAAACTTGAAGCACTATGTAAATCTAGATTTCTTTATTGTTATTACTTGGAAAATAGGTCATCTGTATATTACACTGTTACATTTTTGTTGTTATTATTTAAAAAATGGCCTTTTTTTATATGAAAAATATATTGAATAAAGTAAAAAGGACTCAAACAAATTGGGTGATCCCACAATTCAGGGAAAACACAAAGCAATTACTATATAATACACAGTTATGTATAGTGGATATTACTTGCGTTTACGTTTTAGCTGCTGCCTATCAAATTGAATCTAC